CTGGAGCCCAGAGCCGAGCCCTGCACGCAGCACAATGGGTCAGGGCCTACTGGCCCCAAAAGGGAGCAGCTGGACAGTCCTGTCCCCCGCAGGCCTCCGAAAAGGGTGAAGGCGGAGGTGATTCCCAGCTGACCAGGGGACTCAGGGAGGGTGGGGTTTTTGTAGCGACCATGGTTTTGTTTTCTAACAAACACTTTGCTACTGGTGTCTGTCCTTCGAGGGGTACACTTCAGGACACCGAGAGCTGGGTTTCAGGTCCTGGGGCAATGTTGTGTTTGCATCTCTCTTTGGCTTTAAGGGCTTCTGGTGGGGACCTGGGAAAGAGCCCCCACTGCTCCCCACACCTTGGACCCTGACCTTAGAGGTGACACCCCAGCCACCTGCGTGCCCCCATGCCTCAGCCCCTGACTCAGGATGCTCTGGGGAGAGATGCCCTGCCTGGCCCTGGTGTCCAGACTAATGGGGGTATTAACTCCCTCTGCCCCTTGGGCTCTCACTCCCCAATTCCTGCCTCCCCAAAGCCTCTCACAGCCCCTCAAGGAAGGAAGGGAAGCAGAATCACTCTTTGGGGGCCAAACTTCATGCTGGGCATGTAGAGGCTTGCACTCACTGCCCTTGGGGCTAGAGGAAGATAGGGGTGGGCCCACCTGGCTCTGCCAGACTTCCAAGAAAGTCTTCAATGCAATAAAAGAACTTGTGTCTGAGTCTGTTTAACTTTCACTGCCTCGCTGTCAGTCCTAGCCCGTGAGGTCATCGTGAGGACAGGAATGTGTGCCTAGCACGGTGGAAATTTCTGTGCTTCCCCTCTTGTAAAGAGTGATGCCAAAAGCTGGCATTCTTTGAGCCCATAGTTCGTCATTTTAAATGTGTATGTGTGACCTTTTAAACATTTGCCTTCCTCTAGCGGCCTGGAGCCCCTTGAGGAGACGGGTCACATGTCTAAGTCGTGTTTAGTCTCCCCAGCACCTGTGCGCAGAGGGCGGAGGAGAGGGCGATGCATTGGGAAAACTGCACCCACGGGCTCTGCCAGGTCCCATCCCTCCTGTTGTGACCTGGGGCGAGTTATTTTGCTCCTGACACTTCAGTCTCTTGATCTGTAAAACAAGCAAGATGGGGAGCGGCTCCAGCCTCTGAAAATACTCTTAAGGAGCTCCTGGGGCACCCCGGGGCCTGCAGACCTGCTCTCAGGGCCATCCGCCGCTCTCCGAGGTGCTGAAGGAGCTCATGGCTCCAGAAGCAGCTGAAAGAGTGCGTCCTGGGGTTCCCTCGCCTCACCCCGCATCCCAGACTGGCCTAGCAGCTGTCGAGATCAGGAACCCCTAGACTTCACTTCCGCCCCCCTCACTACCTCTGTACCAGCTGTGTTCTGCCAACAATACTTTATTAAGGATCAAGGCAGTCTTAAAAAAGGGTATCGTTGAGGGCCATGGCCACCCCCAATTCAGAACTCAGCTCCTTTTCTGGGGCCAGGATCCCTGCGGTCTTAGCTGCTTCCTCCTCCCAGTGCAACTGGGCAGGGAGGAGTCCTGCGGCCGCTGCCAGGAGCTGGGAGGTGACTGCCTGTGGGTGTTGGCTTGTCTGCCGCTCAGCCTGCGAGCGCTGCCTGTCTCCTGTGGCTGGGCCTGTGTATTTCTAAGGCTCTGGCCTCTGAGCATCAGTTTCTGCGGGTGTCTGGGTCCTGGGTGAATATCTGAATTTGTGCGTGGCCATCCTGGCGTGTCCACCGCCATCTCTGCCTCACCTCCAGTCCCCACACCAGGTGTCCTCCGAGTGCTCAGTGAAGTGCCCTCAGTGAGCAGAGAGGCCTGGGGGCATGTCTGGGTCCTGCTCACAGCTCCTCCCCTGGTGCCTCCAGACCCACAAGCCCTGGGTTGAACACTGGTTTAGTCAAGGCCCAGTCCAGCAAGGTGGCCCAGTCCAGCAGGGAGGTCCAGTCCAGCTCCTCCATCATGTTGCCCTGGGCCAGGGTTGAGTTGTCCAGTTCCTCTGTCGAATTGTCCAGAGACTGCAAGTCTTGGGACTCCCAGTCTTCCCTAGGGCTTCCTGGGGGATCTTCTCGGGATGTGCCAGTCTTGAGCTGAGGTCCTGGAGCCTCGGAGCCTGGCGTGACATCAGGGGCCACACGGGATGCAGCATCATTGTGCAATGTTCTAGAGAAGACTGAGCAAGCGTTTGGAGGTCATGAGGGCTGGAGGAAAGGGCTTCTTTACCTAGCTCCCAGCCTCAGGAAGCAGCGACAAGGGGTCCTCCCTCCCCCAGAGGCATGGTATGGGGGCTTGTCCCCAAGGGGGCTGACAGGGAAGCCCACTTACCTCGCACAGGTGCGAAGTCTCCAGGGCTCTCGGCTTTGTTGGGGGTGAAGGGGCTCATGGAGGGGAGGACGATGAGGGCGAAGGAGAGCAGCAGCACCTGGCAGAGATGGGGGCGGGTCACCCCGTCCCTCTCCTTCACTTGCAAGCTTGCTCATCTCACGGGCAGGGAGACTGACACCCAGAAGACTGAGCACGGCCAGAGCTAGGGCTCGGGGCCATGCTCCTACTCCCTGTACCTCCACCCTGCAGTCCCTCTGCAAGACCTAAAACCCCTCAGTGATGGGGCCAGCAGGGTTGGGGCCAGGACTTACAGCTATGCAGGTGCCCGTCTGGGCTGATTTGCTGGTGGACTGTACCACGATGGCCTGCAGCTTCTTCAACTGCTCCAAGAGGGACCTTGGAAGGAGCAAGCAGTCTTTACTGAGCCTGCTAGGGCCTGGACCTGGCTCCACCCAGATTTCTAGGGACACCGATCTGACTGACATCTGAATTTCATCGATCCCTGAAGATCCCGCTGCTCTCTAAAGTCTCAGATCCTCCCTCATTGCCTCAATAAACCACAGGCCACTCCACCCACTTCTCTGCCACGCCTCGCCCACAGCCAGTGTCATCGTGGCTCTCTGGAGGTCAGCGCAGCCCAGCCCCTGCTGCCTCCCTCGGTTCCTGGCCCAGGCAGCAGCCAGAGGGCGCTTTTCAACTGCAAATTCGCTTTGCCCAACCCTCCCAAGCTTCTTTAACCTGCTCAGCATGAAACCCTAAGCTCTCCGATGCCCGCAAGCCCCTGTCCTTACCACCTCCCCCTCCCTTCTGGATAACTCTGCCCCAGCTAAACTGTCCTCCTTGCTGGTCAGTCCTTCAGCGCACAAGGACCGATGTCTCAGAGCCTCTGCACTGGCTGTTTCTTCCGGACCAAGGACACTGGTCCCAGGTCATTTTGTAGCCGGTTCTTTCTCATCTATCATGTCTCACCTGTCACCCCCACCCAGGACTTTCACTCTGCTTTACTTCACAGTGACTATCATTATTATTTGATCTTTTACATATTTTTGTCTTGAGTATGTCTCCCACGGGACCATGACTTCTGTAAGTGGAGGGACTATGTCTGTGTTGTTCACTGTTGTGGTCACAGGGCCAAGAATATGCCTCGTACAGAGTAGATACTAAACAGATATTGATTAAAGAGCACACCCCTTAGACAGAATCACCTGTAGTTCTCCAACATACTATGCTCCTAACCTTTAGCCACTGTATGTAGCATTGCTCCGACTGGGAGCAGTTTTCCCCTAGTGAACTCTTACACATCCTTCAAGACCCCAAGTACAAACTCCCTCCTCTGTACCACCTGCCTCATTTTTATGTGAAAGCCCACTGCTCTCTCCTGCCATCAGGAGTCAAGGCCAAGTGATCCCCACCCAAGTCTATCATCCTGAAAGAGACTCTGGGAAAAACCCCTTCTTCACTGCCCCAGCTATACCAAAACTCACAGGTTCTGCTTCTCAAGATGTAAGACCTTTCGCTGAAGTTCCTGGTTCTGAGCAGCGCAGGCTGACATTCTGCAGGGACAATGTCACAGTGAGATTCAGAATATGCCTGGTACCATCCAAGTGATGTCGCCTGTGAGGTCCCACTTTACAGGCAAGGAACCTCAGGCCAGAGAAGGAAGTCACTCTGCCAGACCTTTGGCCAGTCTGTGACAGCTAGGATATGAACCCAAGAAAACCTGGATCCTCCATCCCAACTCTATTCAATTCTGAGCCTGCAGGATTGGGGAGGGAAGACCCATTCCAGGCAGTGCTGCTTAGAATATGGCACAGCAGGGCTACCAGGAGTTCAAGGAGTCCTTAGATATAATCCTTACCTTGCTTGTGACCTTTCTTTCCTACCTTAGTCTCCTCATCTGCAAAATGGAGATAATTTACTAGTTCGTAGACTGACACTGACAACTATGAAATAAAGTTGGTAAGGGGGCACAAGGGGTTAAAGTGCAGCACTATGGAGCCATCCGCAGCCACTGCTGTATGAGTTCGATCCCCAGCCAGGGAGTGACCCACATAGCACAGCAGACCTCTCCTGACTCACCTGCTGCTCCCCTCAGCAGTGGATTTCAGTCCATCTGCCTGTTCTGCTCCCCACTCTGTCTGGTGAATTCTCTCACTCCCGCACCTCTGGGCTATACCCCACTTCTTGTATGCACAAATAAATGAATCTTTAAAAAATAAAGTTGGCAAGGGACCTAGAAGATTGCAACTAATATAATCATGGTGTCATCTCATCCTGGGCCCTGAGGTTCAGGCTGGGGACCCATCTCTCCCTCCACATCTCCCCATGAATGCAGCTTTGGGTCAGACCACTCAGATGTGGAGTTGAAAACTCAGGGAATGAGGATGAGCATGAGCTGGGTACCTCTCTACCCCAAAGCAGAGGTGTGTGGATCACGAGCCATGCAAATGTGGGGACAGAGGTTTTATAGGGAATTTTTGGGCAAATTCCCATCTTGAGACCTGAGACTGACAGACCCACCATAGTGGACAGCAGGTATGATTACATACTTTGTTCTCCAGGGAGGAAAGTGAGAATCTAGGGTACTTTTCCAGAAGAGAAATCAAGCCTATCACTACCGGGGGAGAGACTAGATTTCTGGCCCTCCACCACCATCACTGAAAGGCCCTTCTAAATGTAAACTACATGATAATGACAATGATACAAATCAAAATGTGTGCAATGAAGCTAATGTAGTGCTAAGAGGTAAATGAGCCTTAGTGACTTGAGCAGACACATTTTCAAATCAGGAAAAAAAAAAAAGACAAGAGCAGATATAATGAAAACAAGAGTAAAACTGAAAGAACTAGACAATAAAAATACAATCAAGATGGGAGGAAAAAAAAGAACTTCACCCTCTGAAAAGATTTATAAACAAACCTCTGATGAGACTGGCCAAGATAAAGGAAAGAGAAAGCAATAGTTATTAAATAACTATAGACAGCACAGAGATTAGAAATAATAGTGAAGAGCGGTAAACAAGTTTACGTCAATAATTTTGAAGCAGACGACTCCCCAGAAGCCAGGACGTCCCAGCATTGACTCGGGAAGAAACAGAAAGTCAGACCACCCGTAGTGCCCAGTAAGTCACTCTCGGTGAGAGAGCCAGCTCACCGTGTGTGTGCCTGTCACAGAACAAAGTGAAGCCTGTCCCCTCCGTTTTCTTTTTTCTGTTTTAAGATTTATTTATTTATGCATCTAGAACTGGGGTATAGGCCAGAGGTGAAGGGGCAGTGACAGGATTCCCCAGAGACAGAGCAGGGAGCAGAACAGGCAGATGGATGAAGTACACTGCTGAGGGAGGCAGTGGGGAGACAGGAGAGGTCTGTGCACCATGTGGGTCAGCTCCGGGGCTGGGATCGAACTCACAGTACTGGTGGTGAAGCAGCTGTTGCTAGCTTCACAGTGCTGCACTTTAACCCACTGCGCCACCAGGGAGGGCCCCTGTCCCCTCCATTTCTTAAATGAGTTGAGAGGTGACTGGTTGAAGAGGGGACACCGTTTTTCAGCTGAGGAAGTTCTTCCAAGAATGAGCTCCATCCGTTCTCCCCAACCCAAGGGAGGATGACAGCTCCAGGGATGCTCAGATACGGGGGTGGGGGGCATGTGGGGGGGTGGGGAGTGCTCCATCAACATCAAGATGGGTGACCCTCCTGTCTCCTCGGCACCACATCTTCCAAGGGGTAAAAGGACCAAAATCTTGGCCTGTGCCATTCCAGGAATCTTTCCGTCCTCGCAGTTCACAGGAAGACTCTCTCTCCCAGGACGGACACAGGCCCCATGCTGTGTGCGCCCACCGGACACCTCCTCCAGGCCTCAGTCCCCACCCCCCACCCCCCGCGTGTGCCATCCAGGTCCCCAGTCTTACCGACTTTCTAGGCCATCGATATATTCCTTCTTCTTTTTCCGACTTTCTTGGGCAGACTGTTTGTTCCGGATTTTCCGGCGGATTTTTTTCAGCACTCGCTCCTCATACTGGGAGTAAAATGGGAAAGAGGCCGAGTCAGTCTCTGTTGTCCAAACCCCAGAACTTCACCCCTAAGCGGGTTACCCAAAGCCCGAGGCTCAGGGGACAGTTTCCTGATTACTGAAGACCAGCTCTTGTCTCCTCCCTAAATTCTTGCCTCCCTGGGAGAAGCCTGGGTCCCGATGGCCTCCCCAGCCCCAGTCCCCAGTTAGTAGCTGGTTGGCAGTTACGGCCTCACTCTGCCTCACTCTCCCCGGGACAAGCCCCTTTCCCGAGCCAGCTGGGACCGAGACCTCTGACTCTCTCAGGCACTGACACTGGGTGCCATGGGCTGGGGGCTAAGGAGCCCTCGCCAGCTGCTCAGTCACTGACTGATGTGTCTGTGCCAGTGTGGGAATACGGGGGCGGGGTCCCCAGCTATGGAGTCATAGATAACACATGGGGGGGGGGGCAACTGTCTGCCGCCAGTTCAAACATTTAGGAAATGTAGTGGTCTGCAGGCCACACCTGGACGTCAGGCCACCTGGTTTAGGAACTCTGACCCTCGAGGGGCTAAGAGCAAGTGAAAAGCAGATGGAAGCTCCCAGAGCCCAAGCCATGCCTTGCTACCCCACGTCCAGCGCTGGCTCCCGGCTGGCCAGCACTGCCCACCCGCTGGCTGTGGCAGCGGGCACACCCTAACTGCTGGTGAGGCAGCCTGCGGGCGCAGCCCACGCATGGGAGCAACAGGAAGGGGGCAACAGCAGGGGCGGGGTGCCACTGACTCGCCTTGGTGAGGGGCAGCTGGGTGGGCAGCATGATGCCTTCTTTGGCCAGCAGCTTCTTCTCATCCTCGGTCAACACCAGGTCCTGACTGTGCCCCATCCCAGGCCGCAACATGTGAGGGGCTGTGGGATGATGCTGTTGCTATGGAAAAACCAGGAGGAAGGCACTGGGGCAAGGACAGCCTCCCTCTGGGAGACCAAAGAGGCGTTCGACTTAGGAAACCCGTCAAGCCGCCCGCTGCAGAGCCCTCACCAGCACTCGGCTCAAAAGCACCTGTGTACAGGCCCTTGACCCAGTGATCCACCTCTGGTGACGCCACAGATCCCTCACTCCTACAAAGTGATAGGCACACGAGTTTTTAATTTGCACGACAAATAGTCATTTCTCAGCTATTACTAAGCATCCACTATATGTCAGGCACCGCTTTAGGTTTGGAACACTCATGACTACGCTGTCCGTGACAGCAAAGGATTAGAAGCAATGAGAATGTCCCACAAAAAGGTAATGGGTTAAATAAGGCATAGAGTAGTATACAGCTCTGAAAAGGGATGGGCTCTCAATTCCATAATATGGTGCAATTGCTATGCTAAATCATCACTTTAAAAAGGGGGGGGAGTTCAAAACAGTGGTACATATGGTGTTCCATTAAAGTTACAAAAATCAGATGGAATCTCTTTGGAAGGCAACATCAGAATCTGTGTGGGAGCTGGGTATCTGAGCATCTGGGGTGAGGGGGGTCTCTCCCGATACATCGTTTGTACTATTGGATGTAGAACTGTCTGAATGCACTGGCTTGCGCAAAATATTTAATTAAATTTAAATTATGAAAGCTAAGCATTAAATATGAAAGATTCTTGCCATCCAGAGTGCCAAAGCAGTAGGAATGCCTCGCCTCCCTTCGCAATCCCTGTCCATGGAGGATCCTCGCTGAGAACACGCGTGATGTTTGGTGGAAACTCTGCTGGGGCAGTTTTCCATGGCTTCCCAAGGCCCACTCTGCCCTTCCCCCTGGGAAGCAGAGAGCCCGTCCCACCTAGGCCCAAGCTCTAGTATGGTCATTCACAAACTGGGGGTGAGCTTGCCTACACCCTGAAGTTGCTGACTGCAGAGCAATGGTGTTAATTAAACATGATGCTTCTGCAAATTCCAGTTAGCTTTTCCAAGCACTCTCCTTTTCCATCCCTCAAAGCCTGCTGAAGTTCTTCCTCCTCCAAAAGCCTTTCTGGGCCCCAGGGGCCAGCCCCCAGCTGTTGCTCTCAGGGGCAGTCAGCTTCCTGTCTCGACTCTGAGGTCACCGGAGGCTGAGCACATCGTGGGCGCTCACCGCAAGACTGTCAAGCCAAAAGGAGCCCTCTGGTCTTAACCTAGAGATGGTCAGGACGACGGTCGGTGCTGGGCAGACAGAAATCCAACTCCTACAGAACCATCCGCTTGCTGTGGGGCTTTACTAGCTTAACCCATTCGGGCCTTTCTCATCTGATTGGAGTGTCCAGCCTGGTGAAGCTTTTGGCAGAATACATAGCCCTCTGTCGATATGCAATGACACAACAGTGCCAACAGGCCGGCCCAGGGATTCTCCCTGCAGCGGCTGGTGGCTCAGGGTAAATCACTGAACCTCTCTGTGGCCACTTCCTCCTATGTAAAATTTAGATAATCAGGGCCTCAACCTTCAGGGATGTTGATGGAACATTTAAAGCACATGGAAGAGTTCCTGGCCCACAGTCGGTGCTTAGTAAGTTTTAGCATTTTTTTTAACACCGCAGTAGAAAATACATCAGTGGAAGAGTCAGAGAACGTGGGGCGGAAAGCCCCTGACTTTTTCTGTGTGTGACCAGGATCAGATCCAAGGCCCTGTCTGTGACTCCATTTTCCAGTAGTCTGTGAAATGGGAGTGTTAGGGCTCCGTGAACCCCAGTGGCCCTCCCAGACCCGATACTGCAGTGGGTGGGGGGCTGCTCACCAGGTCCCCGCCACTGCCAGAGAGCAGGAGTTCTTTCACCGTGAGGTTGCAGCCTGGAGGCGAGTGTGGTAGCTGCGTTTGCTCTTCTGGGTAGAGGTCCGGTCTCCACATTTCTGATCAGGGCAGAAGGGACGAAGACAGGGAGGGTAGCAGGTGGGACACGCTGAGACCCAGCCTCTGCCCACCTCCTTCAGCCAGGCTCCCAGATTGACACCAATGTGCTTAGAGCCTGGGGCATAGCTTGGAACCCCGAGGCCTGGGTTTAAAGGGCTACCCTGGCCATTGCCTCCACTACCAGATGGAACCTAAATGAACGAGGACACTGACGAGAGATCCACTGCCAACCCAGGAAGGAACAACTACTATTGACTAGGGTTGCAGATTAGATGTTTGCAGTCAAGGGCCCATTTTCACGGGATGAGAAACAGACCCCAGGTCTGCCTCACCTCTGGTTCCCTCCCACCTGGGGCCTGCTTCACCTTGGGCAAGGCCCTTGTGAGAACAGGCTTTAGTTCTAATCCCAAAGGAGAAGAGCTGTGTGACCTTGAGTAAGTGACTAGGTATCTCTAAGCTGTTTTATCAACTCTCCAAAGGGACTCATAAGCACTCACACCTCACTGCAGATCTCAAGGGGCAAAGGACACCCTGAGATGTCCTTTGAGTAAGGCCATTTCCCAGAACAGGAGGGGCATCCTGGGGCCTGAGGTGGCTCCTGCTTTGTATCACTCAGGCAGGACATACAAAGATAAAAGGGTGGTGGTGTGATGCCTGGTGCCTGAGCCACCCAGCCCTGCGATTTTGTTAAATCTTATTAAACCTCATGGGGACTCAGTTTCACCATCTGGAAAATGGACCTGTGACTGCATCCCTCAAGGTGCACGGATACAGTGGCCGGAACAAGGCGAAGGCAGTGAGCAGAGACACAGAACTCACCTAGATCTATGGCTACAGAGGCCTCGAGCGCCTGGGCCCCTGGGCCCGGGGTCCTGGCAGGGCAGGGGGTCGCGGGACCATAGGAGGAGCAAGACTCTGGGGTGTGGTAGTTGACTGGGGTGGTGGCCAGTCCACTGCGTGGAGGGGTGTCCTGGGGGTCAGAGGGCAGGTCTTCAGAGATGCCACTGTCACTGGCTGCAGGAGACCAGAGAGGAGAGCTGGGCACCGAGTCTCCAGAAGCCAGGATGCAGTTGAGGAAGTCATCCGAGTCTGGGCCTGGCAGGACCTGCTGGGGTGGAGGGGGCGGGTGGGAGCTAGGGTCTATGCTCTGCTCCGGGTTGCTGTGTGACCACGAGCAAGCCGCTGGCCCACTCTGGGCCTCACTCAGCCTTTCTGTATGAAGTCGTTGGGGTTTGAACACAGCCACGTAGCATGGGAACACGGTCCAGCAGTGTCCTGACAATGTTCTAAGTTGCGTTTGGACACAACTCCAAAGGGCTGCTTGACCCCCTGCAAGTTACCAGCCCCCTCTGGGCTTTGGTTCCTCCACCCCCAGAAATCAATGCCAACTACCCATTGGAATACTTAAAAGGTTCAACATAACAATGTGTCTGTACCTCCCTGGTGGCACAAACGATTAAAGCGCAGCACTATGAAGCTGTCCACAGCCACTGCAGCACAAGTTCGATCCCTGGCCAGGGAGTGACCCTGGGCACGGCAGACCCCTCCTGACTGCCCGCTGCTCCCCTCAGCAGTGTACCTCATCCATCTGCCTGTTCTGCTCCCCACTCTGTCTCTGGTGAATCCTCTCCCCACACACACACACCTCTGGCCTGTACCCCAGTTCTGTATGCATAAATAAATAAATCTTTAAAATCAAGCACTGGGAGCTATTCCATGGGGCTGGGTCCGAGCTGGGCCTGGGCAGCTGCGGGCCAGTGGCCACAGGTCCTCACCTGGTCCTCCGCAGAGCCCCAGTCCTCGCCTAGCTCGACGTGTCTCAGGACGCCATCCTGGCGGTCAAACAGAAGGTCCAGCAGCTCCAGGCTGTCCATGGGGCCCATGGCACAGGGAGAGGAAGCCATCTGGGAGGGGAGGGAGCAGGCTTAAGAATCACATGGTCTCTCTTTCCACCTCCCAGCGTCCTGGGATCTTCAGCTCAAATTCAATCCCTGCTCAGTCCCCAGGGCAGGCTCCTGCCGCCCTCCCCTAGCCTCCAACTCCAGACTCCCGGGGCAGGAGAAACACTTCCTTTTAAAGTGCCAGGCTTGGGGAGTGACCTCTCCTGTTTCACCCAAGGCCCCCGGTTCAGGGGACAGAGGCGGGGAGGGTAGAGGGGAACCTGGAAGACAGACGAGAAAGCCAGAAATGGAAGTATGATGTCATCATGCAGGCTCTGGGCCTCAGTCTTCCTGTCTGCACAATGGGAGTGTGGGGCTGCTTCCAACTCGGGGAGCTGGGGACGGTTCCCGCTAGGCCTTCCCTCCCCTCGGACACTAGCAGGCTTACCTTTCCAGCTGCCAAATCCCCATCCATGAGCCCACGCAGTGCTGCGTCCAGCTATTACCCGCGTCTACTCTAAACTGCAGGCTCGCCCCAACACCAGGGCTCCAGGAGCAGCTCTGCGGTTCTGTCAGCACCCCCAAAAGATGCTGAAATAGTCCCCGAGCGCTCCCAGCCCAACCCCAGGCGCTGATTGGCGGACCGGGAAGACAGACAGGTGTAAGGGCCAGTGACAGCCAGGCAGGCCGGTGGGGGGGGGGAGGGGCGGGGCGGGAAGACCGTTATCTCGTTATCTCGTGTTTTGTGCTTTTCCAGCCACAGGAGCAAAGGGCAAAGTCTGGGGTGCCTCAACTCTGCCATGACCTCTCCCCTACTTTTGGGGATTGTTTCTCAGCCGAGTCCCCGGACGTTGGGTTCCAGGAGAGTCCAGGTCCCCAACCTGGGTCTTGTTCATTCCTCAGACAGGTCAAAACCAAGGGCCCCAGCCCACGGTGGTTCCCGTGTCTTGGAGCGCCTTCCACCCCCCACCCCCCCATGGAAAGTTTGTTCTAGAATCTTCTATCGCTCATTTATTCAATGTTTATGTAGCCCAACTTGTTTCCATCTCAGGGCCTTTGTTCTTGATATCATTCTGTCCAAAATTGTCCCCCCACGCGTTGTCTTCACAAATTGTCTATACAAACTTTTGCTATTTATGTATCTATTTGTTTCCCTTCATTCCTTTGGTCCTTATTCTAAATGTGAGCACCATGGGAGCGAGGTTCTTTGTCAGGTCCCTAGCTTCTAGAAAAGGTGACTATCATACATTAGGTGCTCAGTCAACTCAGCAATGAGTGCCTCGGATGTGCCAAAGGCTGCCTTAGGCCGCAGGATCAGTCTGTGAGTGTGCTAGTTTGTAAATGCGTAAACAAACCCGTAAATGGGGAAAGAAGTAGGTGCTACTCAGAAACTAAATGTGGGATGGTAAAGGGCTGGGAAAGACCTCTTTCAGAATGAAGAGAAAATGACAGTCTTAGGGAGACTGAAGAAACAGCATGTGCAAAGGTCCTGGGGCAGGGCCGTGCCAGCATGTTGAGGAACAGTGAAAAAATCCTTGTGTAGCAGGAGCCAAGTGTCCAACAGGGAGGAGGCCGTCAGGCAGGGAATGAACGTCAGGCAGGGAAGGAAGCGAGTGTGTGGGCTGTGGCTGGAGCTGTTTTAGATTAAATGTAGCAGTCAGCTACCAGGAGCCAGTAATTGGTTGCCTTTTGTCTTCTGGGCATGAGCCTAGATCCTAGGGTTATAGCATAACTACAACACACTCCCTTTGTGCTCATGGAACTCACACCCTGATGCATTTTCTCGATGGACCTATCCTTATTCATTCACACAACAGGAACTTAATAATGAGGGCCTACTCTGTGCTACAGTAACTTACATCAAAACAGTTGGTCCTAGGGACACTGAATGATACCTGAAGACTGTGGCTGTCACAACTGAGGGTGGGGGGCTCTGGAATCTGGTAGGCGGGGGCCATGGTGGTGGGGGACCAGAGGGCCCCCACAGAGAGCAACCCCCCCCAAACATCCCCAGTGCCATGTTGGCAAAATGACAGCGATGTCTCCTCAGTTGCTGGAACTGTGATTTCGCCCTCGGATACTCTTATTTCCTTTCGAATCCTTGGGTTTGGATTTCTAAGGTGTTTGACTTGGCTTGGCTTTAGCAATCCCAGTCATAATATTTATTCACCCTTTGCTGTGAAGGCACTTTTCCAAGGCGGTCACGGCCGGTGTATACAGTACAGGTGAGGTTTGACTTCTGGGCCTCTCTGTCTCCCTGCCCCCTCCCCCATTTATGGCTCTCAGAAATCGTGCCCTTGAGATAGAACTTTTTCTCCCCCTCTTATCAGACCTGACGGATCTGGTATCACTCATTACAGCTCAGGGAGCTCTACGACCCTTGACCCCCTCCCTCCAAGGATATTTGTATCCCAAAATTTCTGGTTTAGATTCATGGGTGTTAGAAGCCTTTAGACACAGCAGTGAAGAGATTTTAGGATTTGTGAAGAATTAGAATGAAGACAAGCACTTGAGGGGTGTATCCAAACCTCTTAATACACTACCTCATTTACTGAACACAACATATATGTCAGTGCGATGCTAAGCTGACATTTGCAATAATGTGATTTATAGGGAAAGCATTTAGGACCCTCCCTGGTGGCACAACCCTCCAATGTTGCAGCGCAGCACTGTGAAGCTAGCTGTAGCCACTTCAGCACGAGTTCGATTCCCAACCAGGGAGCGACCCACATGGCGCGGCAGACCCCTCCTGTCTCCCTGCTGCTCCCCTCAGCAGTATGCTTCATCAGTCTGCCTGTTCTGCTCCCCACTCTGTCTCTGGTGAAGCCGCTCACTGCCCCTGCACCTCCAGTCTGTCCCCATAAATGAATACATCTTCATAAATGAATTCATAAATGAATACATCTTTAAAAAAGAAAGAAAAGAAAAACATGTATATTTGTTCTTAACTCACAGTTCCCAGTTCGCAACCCTCAAAAACCCTTGGAATTTCCTAAGCATTAAGAGTGGTAAAGGTGTTCCTTGTTATGTGAATGAAGTGACTTTTTGGGAAACACCTAAAGATGGGGACCGAGAGATAAGCAGAGGGGACTTCTAGTCTCACCCTCCTGACCTCTGGGGAGGAGAGAGGCTGGAGGTCATGTCAATTGCTGGTGACCGTGGTTTTAATCAATCGCACCCATGTAGTGAACCCCCCATAGAAGCCCCAAAGGAGGGGCCTTGGGAGAGCACCCAGGGTGGTGAGCACATGGAGGTTTGGGGAGAAAGCTGGGGGGCAGAGGAGGAGGGCGTGGGGCTGTGTCCCTTCCCTGCACCTTGTTCTCTGTGCCTCTTCCAGCTGGATGATGCTGAATAGTAGTATTCTTTGTATCGATAAGTTTGGTGATTTGGTGAGTAAATGGGCTTTCTGAGCTCTGTGAGCTTCTCTACCAAGTTAATCAAACCTGAGGAGGGGTCCTCGGAACCTTTGATTTGAAGCCAGTTGGTCCGAAGCCCAAGTGACAGGCTGTGACCCCAACACAGAGCATCCTGGGAATACTGACCCCTTAGCCTGTGGAATCTGATGCTACTCTGGCTCAACGGTGTTGGAATTGAGCTGAACGGAGTTAAAGTTTAGTAGCCAGCTTGCATCTGGAGAGTTGTTGAATGTGTGGGTAACCCCCCACACACACACACACATAGACACACACACCCCACATTGGAAATTGGGTCCAAGAGCCCTATTCAGGATAGAGTCCACCAATATACTTAAGAATGAGATACAGCCTATAGTAGAAGCTGAGCACACAAGGTAAAGGAACATTGTGGCTTTGTTTACAGACCTTATCAGAGCCTTTACAGTGCTTTGTAAGGCTGCTGGAGGGGACAGAATTTGTAGGCTTTACTCAACATAATTGTGTTCACACTGAGTTTTGTTTTTAATTCTTACTTGACTTATTCTGAACCATCTCTGCCATATGAAAACATCTAAAGATCCCCCACTAGAATCATTTAAAAACAAAAAATGACAGATAACAGGAGAGGCTGGTGGAAGATGTAGGGTAACTGGACTCACCCACTGTTTGTGGGTACCAAGATAGTCCAACCCATTCCACTTTGAGAAACTTTAGGAAAGTGGGCACTCTCTCATCAAATTAATGCAGAGGGGCAGGGAAGAGCACAAGGGTCTGTGGTGATGTAAGAAAATAAGTAAATTTAATTTTTAAAATACCTAGAAGAAAAAAAAACATGCATTTACCATATGACTCAGCAATATCACTTCTGGGAACTTACTTAAAAGAAATGCAAATGTCCACAGAAGGACTTGTGCATGAATGTCCTTAGGAGTTTCCAAGCTGGCAACAACTCAGTAGGAGAACAGACGAACAAACCAGTATAACCACACGATGAACTATTACTCACCCATTAAAAGGAATAACTTACAAATGTATGCGGTACACTGCAGAATCTCAACACACTGTGCTAAAAGGAGTCAGTCACAAGAATACACTGTATGATTCCTTCTAGCAACCTGGACAAAGTCATCTTTGATGCAGAAAGTGCTGCCTGGCATAGAGTGGACAATTGGGTGAGTAGGGACGTGAAGGAGCTAGAGTAGTGAAAATATGCTGTGGCTTTTTGCATAGAAGAACCAGGGTACAGGCCAGGTACAGTGGGGGTGCGTGAGAGAGGATTCCTCAGAGACAGAGTAGGGAGCAGAACAGATGGATCAACTGCTGAAGAGGGCAGTGGGCGAGACAAGAGAGGTCTGCTGAGCCATGTGAGTCAGCTCCCAGGCCAGGGATCGAACTCAGTTCACCGATATGCTGAGACTTAACCTCCACATCACCGGGGGGTCCAACCTTGTCTTATTTTTGGTGGTGGTTACATGAGTGGATGGCCACGCATCACTAAACTCAGGGACACACTCTGAGCTCTCAAATGACTTTGTCATGCAAACCCAGATAGTACAACCTAATACTCCTCTATTGGGGACCCCACCTCATTTTATATGGGGTTAATAGAAATGTCATAGGCATCATGCAGGTGCACTATATATCTGTGTATTGTGGCAAAGAAGGAGGGGAGGAAGGAAAGAAATAGGGAGGGGAGGGAGAACAAAAAAAAAAAAAAAAGGAAAGGAAGCCGCAGCCCTGCCGACCTGTGACTTGTGACTTAGCAGGTGTCTCTTTTCACAAGCCTTTTCCCTTTGCAAAGCAGCGGCAGCTCTCTGGTCCACCTGCTGCCTAATGAACTTGTCCTGTTAAAATGGAAAGGGAAAAAAAGGAGGGGAAGAGGAAGGGAAGTAGGCAGATGGGAAGGAGACAGAATTTTTATGGCATCCTCCTTAAATTTGCACCCAAGGCCCTGGAAGGAAGGTGCTGTTCATTGTGGGAGACAGGTGCAGCTCTAATTGCATCTCTGTCCCTATCTGTCTCCATCCCTGTTCTGCTTTATGCCTCACAGACACTTAGCATCATCCAACACACTATTTCGTTTTGTCATGGGGTACATTCATTCAACAAACATTTATTATTATTGAACGTCTAGTCTGTGCTAGACAGAGAGATATACTTTAGGGAATATGAATATTCACTAATGATCTCATTCAACAAAAATGTCTTCTGTTCCTTACTTGAATCAAACATTGGTGCAGGTTCTTAGCTAGTCAGAAAGAGGGAGGTATGCGGAGTGGGGAGAGCCAGGATTCATCTGCAAAACATTACAACGATCTTGAGAAGATCTGCTGCGCATCTATCCCAGTATCTGGCACATGGTAGCCTCCCAATCAATATTTGTATCAGGAGGGCCCTCCCTGGTGGCACAACGGGTTGGAGCGCAGCACTGCAAGGCTGGCCTCGGCCACTGCAGCACTGGTCCATTCCCTACGCAGGGAGTGACCCACAGGGCACAGCAGACCTCTCCTGGCCCCCCACTGCTCCCCTCAGCAGTGGATTTCAGTCCATCTGCCTGTTTCTTTTTTTTCCAAAGATGTATTTATTGATGCATACAGAACTGCGGTACAGGCCAGAGGTGCAGGGGCAGTTGAGAGGATTCACCCGAGACAGAGTGGGGAGCAGAACAGGCAGATCGACGAAGTTCACTGTTGAGGCAGTTGTGACTGCTTCATAGTGCTACACTTTAACTCTCTGTGCCACCCGGGATGAGCCCTCAGTACTTTGTAAACGCAGCTGCTAGAAACTTGAACATGACAGAGGGTTTTTCTGGGGTCTATACTGGGTCACGTGGGACCAGGATTTGCATTCCGGTTCTGCCACTCTCCATGGATGCTTACGCATGAAACGCTGTTTCTCTCTGCCTCGGTTTCCTTATCTGTAAAACGGGGCCCTGCAGACCTGCTTCACCAGGTTGTTGGGTGGATTCCGTGAGTTAATGTTCATGACGGGCTCAGAAGAGCCTGCTCAGTCACGTCTCAAAATCCGGCCCTTGTCATGGTTGCAGCCTCAGGCAGCCCCCACCCTGAGATGTTGGGCAGATGCCCCCCCCCCATTCCTCCACACACACCCTGTCACTTTCCGGCTATCTCAGACCTTTGGCCCCAGCACAAATGTGATCACAAGGAGAGTCCCCATTCCCACCGGAGGACAAAGGGACTAATAAGGGCTGATGACTCACTGTGGCTGTCCATGAGTCAGCCGCCATTGGGAAAACGCCCAGGTCCCCTGTGCCAGAGGCGGGCTAGTCCCTTGTCCGCAAGTCGCTTCCCCTTCCCTTTGGCTTTTTACCCCAGGCTCTCCCTACGCGTCCCTCAAGCTCGGGTAGAGAGGGAACCAGGAGGGTGTACAGGAACAGCCATGCCTTGAGGAGTCCTCCTCCTTTTCTTCCTCCTGCTCCTCCTCCTGCTCCTCCTCTCCCAGACCCTCCCCTGGGTTTGGCCAGGCCAAGCAGTGAGTAAAACCCTTGTGACATGGGTGTGGCAGGGACAGGCTAGGGCCTGGGGGACCGGGGAACTGTGATCGCCTCTTGGGCAATACCAACTGATTAGCACCTAATCCCCAAGCTGCCCCATCTCTCTCTTACATCATGCTCTGAAGTATACTCTGGAATTTACAGGGGTGGGTGAACCCAGGAGGTCTGAACCAGGGTCTCTAAATACCATGCTGGACGAGAGTCTGGAGAGTTTGGAAGGACATTCTCACTCATTCATTCCTGCAACCACTCTGTTGAGCACCTACTGTGTGCACTGGGAACATGACAAATGGTGTCTCATGCCCGGCCCTGACGGAGCCGCTGTTCCCGTGGAAGAAGACCGACACTAAGAAAATCATTTGTACTTGATCAAGGAGGTGAATTAAATGAAGAGACAGTATAGAAAACTGAAGTCGAGGGCCTGGAGACACAACAGGTTAACGCGCAGTGCTTTGAAGCTGCCCACAGCCACTGCAGCTCGAGTTGGACCCCAGGCCAGGGAGTGACCCCCAGGGCGCAGAGAGCCTCTCCTGTCTCCCTGCTGCTCCCCTCAGCAGCCTGTTCTGCTCCCCACTCTGTCTCTCGTGAATCTTCTCATGCCCTGAACCTCTGACCTATACCCCAGTTCTTGAATGTATAAATAAATATATCTTTGAAAAAAATAATAAAGTCAGCACTGTGAAGTTATCACCACTGTGGCACGAGTTCAGTCCTCAGCCAGGGATTGACCCACAGGGCACAGCAGACCTCTCCTGCCTCCCCACTGCTCCCCTCAGCAGTGTGTTTCAGTCAATCTGCCTGTTTTGCTCCCCACTCTGTCTCTGGGGAGTCCTCTCTTCCCCTCCCCTGTCCTCCAGTCTTGTATGCATAAATAAATAAATCTTAAAAAAAAAATAAACTGAAGTAGAAAAGAGAGATGGGGAGCACGAGCAGTGATTCATTTTATATAAGGTGATCAGGCCTCACCCCAAAGACATGGCTGAGGTCAGGTGGACATGCAGGGAAGAATGTTCTGAGCAAAGGGAACAGCCAGTGCAAAGGTCCTGAGGCAGGAGAGCAGAAAGGCACATGGAGCTGGAAACAGTGAGGGGGTGGGAACAGGGAGGTGTCTGAGGTCCTTGCTCCAGGGTGAGAAAAGTGTTACTGTCATTCTTACAGTGGCTCTAGAAGTTTCTACCGGGTGGACATGTTTGTGGTCAAGGCTAGAACAACCAGCATGTCAGACTTCGCCATCGCTGGTGTCCAGGGTTCATTCTCTGCTCATGTAGGAAGATGGTCCCCCAGATTTAGAATGAGGTGCCCCCATGGGACTTCTTGGGGGCCTCAAGCCTTGACCAGCTAAGAGAACACACTGTCCGCCACTCACATTCCAGACCACGTCGCTCTGGCGTGTCCTACCATCCCCCCCAGGTCCAGCTGCCCTCATCCTGGTGATTGCTTTACGACCAGTGGGTCCAAGGGCCGGTGGACTGTCTCATCAGGACGGGACACAGGAGGCCTCCACCAGGTGGTCATATCAACTTCTCTCCCGAGGTGGGGGTAGCGGGGGTAGAGCCCAAGGAGGGTGTTTTCTCAGATTTCACCCCAGGACATTCTGAAAAGAAAAACACACAGTGGGGTACAGGAGACATTTCCGGGAATTAATTCTCAAGTAACTACCATTTATCACCTCTGCTTCCGGAGGCTTGAAGTCCAAGATCAAGATATGGGCAGGGTTGGCTCTTTCTGAAGCCTCGCCCTGACATGCTGATGACAGTCTCTCTCTGATTCGGGACGTGGTGGTCCCCCCCTGCCCCGGCGTGGTTACCTCTGTATCCAAAGTCCCCTCTTCCAGAAGGACATCCTTTGTATTGGACCAGAACCCCCCCTTATGGCCGCGATGTAACTCGACTACATCATCATAAAGAAAGATGGTCACATTCTAAGGTCCTGGGGGGGAGGAAGTTAGGACTCCAAAATAATTTGGGGGACACAATTTGACCCATAACACTTTCTCCAAGCTGTTATGAAACCCGAGTGTGTCAGTCACCTTCCCGAGCACACTGCGCTGGTCACGTGTCTTTACACCAGAAAGTAGGGACCCACCCACCTTGGTCACTGTTGTGCCCCAAACCCTGAGAACAGTCCTCCCTCCATCCCTGTGGCTACACACACATTTGCAGAGTGAACCCCACAACTCAAAATGCACCTTGAGATCCTAGGGTGTCAATTTCATTACAAACATTTTGTAACTAATTCTTGCTTTGTGCATTGTCACATTCTGGACTAGACGTCAAGACACATGCGTCCTGCTCTTGTTCAGTCACAAACTTTGCTGTAAACCACAAAGTCATTTCTCCCCTCTGAGACTGTTTCCCCACCTGTAAAATATGGCTATTGATCTAAAGGTTATATAAAACTTTGTCAAACAGGAGGGTTAATGTTTAATCACAGGGAAATCTACCAGGAATGCCATCCGATTGGAGTCTTGGGCCAGGCGGGGTGGGTGTATGGAGAAATCCCCACATAGGGCAAACCCCGTCCATTTACGTAATGAGGTCAGCGTGCGTGGAAAGCTTAAGACAGTTCTGAAATTCAGTTCTTGGTATCAGGAACACTGTTAGGCCCAGAATTTCCTTCCTGCAGCAGGTTGAGCTCCCCGGGAACACCCAGGTTCTCAAGATTTGCATCTCCAGGCCAGAATATACTTGAAGACTCTCCCAGCCTGGTCTACAACTGCTTCCACAGGAAGTGATTGCATTTCTTTGTACGCTTACTTTCTCTCTGGGGCATCTGATATTAGTCTCAATCTGCCATCTTAGAAAGTGTCTTTTGAAAATAAATGTATTGAAAGAAAAAAGTGAAGTCCAAACAAAGGTTGAAGATTTTACTAACCTGTTTTTCTTCAACAAATTTATCTTAAAAGGATGCATTATAATATCGGAGAACATTTTGCCAACCAGCATGGAAGTAACTGATACAGATGCAAAGGAAAATAAACAATGCTGTAAACTTCTGGGCAGTTACTGTTGTCTATGGAAGATTCTGGATTAAGGGACTCGGTTAAAAAGATAAATTAGCAAGTAGGCATTACAGACCCAGCAGCACCCAAAGGAAAGCTTCTTGATGCAATCAGAAGGCTTAAGAAAGGATTAAAAAGGAAGTGATTTCTCACCTTTGATTAGGTTTATTTTTTGCAGGCAATTTGCATTTAAGCTCGTGTGTCTGGAGAGCTCGTATTATACACTGAATCCTCTGAACACCCCACTTTCTTGACTATTTTTCTCAGAGAAAAATAATGCCACTCCTCATAGCTCAGCTTGGGGGTGGAAATGCCTGCCTGATTCAAACCAAAGCTAATATTTATTGAGCAGACTCTATGCTAAGTACACAGATAAACTGAACTTCCAAAAATACCCCAACTTATAAAACTCCCATTGTCATGCCCAAAGCATTTTGGTCTGGAGGTCAGGAGAGGGCACCCTGGCAAGTCATGTGCCCCTCTGTGCCTCGGAGTGAGAACAACAAAGACCCAAGAAACTCTTCCCCATACGTAGTGATAGAGAAGCGGTGGGATCGGGGAACAGCTCTGACAAAGGGGTACATTGTGTGGCGCAATGCCACTACATGGTAATAACTCCCACTCCACTTTGAAAAAATCGTCATCATGTATAAACGATTCTGAAGAGTGACAAATTAAAATACATTATCCTGGGCCCTCCCTGGTGGTGCTATGGGTTAAAGCGCAGCACTATGAAGCTATCACAGCCACTGCAGCCTGAATTCAATCCCCAGTCAGGGAGGTGACCACAGGGCGCGGCAGACCTCTCCTGGCCTGTTCACTGCTCCCCTCAGCAGTGTACTTCGTCCGTCTGCCTGCATCTGCCTGCTCTGCTCCCCGCTCTGTCGCTGGTGAATCCTCTCACCCCCCCACCTCTGGCCTACACCCCAGTTTTGTATGTATAAATAAATAAATCTTTAAAAATTACTTTTCCCCTAAGAAAAGTGTTTGTTTTCTAAACAAAGGATCAGCAGACTTTTCCTGTCAGGAAGCATGGTAGTAAATACTCTCAGCTTTTCTGCTCGGGTGGTAGCTAGTTGGCTCCCTGTGGCAGCTCAGGCCCGTGCAACTTGACTCCTATCCTTTCTCACATCATAAAATACCATCCTCCTTTTGATTCCCCCCCCCAACCAGTTAAAAAAGCACCCTTAACTCCTACCAAAAGGTCATGAGGCTGAATTTGACCCGCAAGCCACTTGCCAACTCTGATCTAAACCATCGCTATGGTTGTGTGAATAGTTCACTGTGGGGAGTCTGAATCAGCTTTTGTATTATGTGTCTCACACGAAGCATTTCTACATGACAGTGACCTTGGAGAGTTCCATGCTGTACCGTGGCTTGGGCACACGCAGGGCCCACGTGCAGGTGCACTGGAAGAGTGGGTTCCCAATGAGTGGGCGCCAATCTTTTGTGCTCTCCCAGGGCACAGTTCAGATTTCCATGACCATGTGATTACCCAGTTTTGTGTTCAAACAGATTCCAAATAAACTGTGAAGGCCCAGTGACTTTAATCACAAAGGAAAAGAATTCACTTCTTTATTGTATCTCACTACTTGGAGTTTCTATTTGTGTGTAAATTTTAGGGCCTCCCTGGTGGTGCAGTGGGTTGAAGTGCAGCTCTATGAGGTTAGCTGCAGCCGCTTCAGCACGAGTTTGATCCCCAGACAGGGAGTGACCGATGGGGCGCAGCAGACCTCTCCTGACCCGCCCACTGCTCCCCTCTGCAGTGTACTTCGTTGGTTGGCCTGTTCTGCTCCCCACTCTGTCCCTGGTGAAGCCTCTCATAGCTCCTGCACCTCTGGCTTGTACCCCGGTTCTGTATGCATAAATAAATCAATCTTTTTAAAAGTAAAGAAATACATTTTAAATAGTGTGCCAAACTGCAAATTATAATATTTTTGTTTGGTTATCTCAAATTTTAATTCAAACACAGAATATCTTTACAGAGTCTGTGCCATGTCTTTCCAATATAAATATCTCCTTTCTTTAAATTGGTTTTTATTTTTCCAAATGTGAGTGCAGTTGACACTTAACATCATGGGGGTGAACTGTGTACCCCCACTTATCGAAGCTCTTCTTGTAAACACATGATGTACATTGATATAATACAGTCTGTCATACATAGATATGGAATATCTAAAAATAGTTGTAATACAGTCCTGTACATGATTATGATTTTCTTAATAACATTTTCTTTTCTCGAGCTTACTTTATTGTAGGAATATAAAATGCATAGCACACAAAATATGTGTTAATCAACTGATTATGTTATCAGTAAGATTTCTAGTACACAGCAAACTATTAATAATTAAGTCTGGGGGGAGTCAAAAGGTAGGGTGACTTTTGACTGTACAGGGATTGGTGTTCTGAACCCCTGTGTTGTTCAAGGGTCAATTGTATTTACTTGTTATTAGACTGTAATATTATTTATGACTGTGACACATCATATGTAAAGATAAGGTTTTCTTTAAAAAATTTGGTAGTGGAATTAAACAGCATTTGTCTACTGTTTTTCCCCCTCTAGTGGACTTTATCTTGTGTACATTGCTAGAGTTCTAAAAGAAAACATGAAGTTCTAAAAGAAAAAATCATTCTGTGGTTCTTCCCTGGCCATTAATGGTGTTTGTTGCTTTGCATAATTATTACTGTGACCTCTATCACATAAAAGAAGGGTGGGAGGATGGGACGTTGGGGTCCTCCCTGGCGGCACAGCGGGTAAAACACAGCACTAAGAAGCTAAAGTCACTTTAGCATGAGTTCGGTCCCTACCCCGGAGGTGACCCAGTTGGCCCGGCAGACCTCTCCTCGCCTGCCCACTGCTCCCCTCAGCAGTGTGCTCCTTCAGTCGGCCTGTTCTGCTCCCCGCTCTGTCTCTGGTGAATCCTCTCACCGCCCCTGCGCCTCTGGCCTGTACCCCAGCTCTGTATGCATAAATAAATAAATCTTAAAAAAGAAAAGAAGGGTGATCTCCTCTGGTTGTTAAATGTGCTACATAAGCCACAGCTTTTTAGTACTTAGTCCTGACATCCAGCAAGTATCAAATATTCCCTATCAATAGTAGCCCACTGACCAACTACAGCCCCCACAGACTGTCTGATCTTCTACCAGCTCAGGGTTAAAAGTAACTATGGCATTTTAAAAATGACTTTCATTTAACATCACTGGTTTGTAACATTGTCGGGCGTTACATTACTGGCGTAACATCATTACAAGTCAGTATGTGTATGCATCCCATTATGTTTGCCCCTAAAAGTCTAATTCCACCCTTCACCATATAACTGATCCCTTTAAGCCAATTTACCCTTCTTTATGGCCCTGTAGTCTAAAAGTTTTAAATTTTTGCATTTTAAAAAATAGAGAAAAAAATTGTCTATGACACAGGGAAATGTTAAGAAATTTCAACTTTCAGCCTCCAAGAACACAATTTCACTGGCTTGCAGCCACGTCCGTTCACCTAGGCCTGCCTGGGGACTGGACAGGGGAACTGAGCACCTCTGGGGAGACGCTGCGCTCCAGCTCTCTTCTCTAGGGTCCTTTAAGAAAACGCTTGCAGGTTCCTGCTCTCATTTGTCAGCCCGTCTGTCTCCTCGACTGAAACCTGAAAGGAAGCCTCCAGGTTCAAGACTTGCGCCCTTGCCTGCTGCTTCCAGACCTACTTGGTCACACCCAGGCCACACGGGCCTGGGCGTGGAGACGTCGCTGGCGCCCAGTCCCTGACGCCCTCTAGTGGGCTCTACAAGTACTGCCTCAACCTCCCGGGAGACAGGTCCGCTCCCTCTTCCGCACGATCTTCTGGGGAGTGGGAGGTTGTCTTGGCGCCTCCTCCCAGTCTTGACTCCGGAAGTCCCCCTCCACCCACACCCTTCAAGGCCTCGGGGCTTCCACCTTTTGGGGCCAAGCTCCCACTTTCCCATTATGCTTTACACACTTGCACGGTTCTCAGTGATTTAAACCCGCTGGTGCCAAAGACGTTAACAAATCTGAGCAGTCTTGCTACTTTCCAAAGACCATCTCTCCACAACACTTTTCCATCTCTGCACAACCCTTCATCTGTGCTTTTAGTCTGAGGCCTTGCCTTTGTGTGTATTGGGGGCAAAGGCAGGCTGCCCCAGGATGAGCTTGAAGGGTGTGGGGATTATTTTTGAAATAGAAGCAGTGAAGTAGAGAAGCTAAGAATTGTGTTTTGCCTAATTATCTACCTACTTAAAACAAACAATTCCTGTGGTGGCCAGCAAAGCCCTTACAAGCATTCGTCCCAAATTAAGTCTCACAAGATCTGTTTTCCCCATATCTGTAAATGAACTCCGCAAAATTCCTTTTTCTTTAAGTTGCAACATTCCTTATTCTGTTTTTCCCTCCTAAACTTATTGCCTCCTGCCTAGAGGTTTCATAACCACTGGAGTGACCCACCACATGAGTAATTCCATTATTTTATATGTGAGGGCTTCCTTTTACCTGTAATTGAGGCTGGTCTTTTCTCTTGCTAATCTCTCTTGTGTCGATTTCTTTTCCAGCCTGCAGACTTAAAAGGAGAAAATCAGCTTCCTCCCCAACATACAGCACATCATTACTTCTCCCACAAAGTATTTCCACCAGGTTATCTTTTCATGTCACATCTCCAGGGACTGGCTTGTACTTTACAGTAAAGAAATAGAAGGAAAGGAGGGGACAGAGGATGCTTTGGGGGACAAATAAGACAAGCAGTAGAGTGATGTGCTCTGATGAGACCCAATGATGAACGACCCTAACTCCATCTTCAATTACATCATGTGGGTGGCTTGAAATGATCCATGTTGGGGGTACTCACACCACTGGAAAGAGCAAAGGCTGCAATTTCAGAGTCTCTCCTCTCTGGAGAGTCACTTGTTAGACGGTAACCGTAACCGGCCCACCCACCATATTCAACCTTCCTTGATCTGCTCTGATTCTGTTGTTGATTCCATCTGTCACAGTTGCATGGCATCCTAGAAAATTTGCTAGAAAGCTTCTCTTTTTAAATAATGGGGCCTTGAGCACTGAGTTGGGTTCGAGTGTCAGTTTTAACTCTTGATCACTTCATGTTGCCTCTCCTGGTCTCTGTTTCTTTGTCTGTGAAATAGAATTAATATACGCTATGTGGGTCAAGGGAGGGGGGAGGCAGCCATGGCCTCTGGGACTGTGAGTAGAACATCAGTGACGCAGCAGGGGAAAAAAAAGTTGTCTTGGGTGAAGGCATCCACGCCAGCTGTGTCAGGGACTTCTTGGAACATAAATCACTCGCTTTCGTTGTCTTCATTCATTTACTCATCATTCATTCACCTCTGCCATCAAATATTTATCAAACACTGAATATCACAACTCTTTATTGATCCCTTCACTGACATTAAACAATGTCCTGCCTATTCTTCCTCCCAAAAGGCAGTGAATCGCTGTAAGCCCAGTGCTATCTCTCCAGGCTATCAGAGGTGAGATATTAAATTCCAAATGGATAATCTTGGTTCCTACTGTCAATGGGAATACTTGTGCTGTGTCTGCCTTTCTAGAAGTCTGATCTCCTTTTCAAAGTTAACTGCTGATGGTTGGGAAGTGACCTGTGTATGCAGCTGCCTTTTGGGGGTCTCCGTGTGCACGGGGATTGCACAAGCACCTCAGACTCAACACAGCCCAAACTGAGCTCCTGTCTTCTCCCAAAGCCATCCCTTCCGCTGCTATTCCCATTTCACTGACAGGAAACATTTTCAGGTCAAAGTTGAGGAATGTCCCTGGCTTTTCTCTTTCTCCCACCCCGACATTCACAAGCAGAGCGGTTTTCCTGACTCCCTCCCTCACTCTGCTCCAGTTCTCTGGGGTTTCCTCGCTGTTCCTCCTACACCACGGACACCATCCTGCCCCAGGACCTTTGCACCTACCGTTCCCTTTCCGCTTCCCTGTCACTGTGGGCACACTCCCACATTTCTCCCAAATGTCACCTTCTCAGTGAGATCTTTTCTGACACCCATTGAAACAGCAGCCTCCCCTACCCACACTTTCTGGCCTTGTTCCTCCTAGTTTTATTTTCCTCCATGCCACTTACTGATATTAGAAGTATTCATTACCTCCTTGTTCATAGCCTATGTCTCCCTCACTGTGAGTTCTGAGAACACGAACTGTATTTGGTTCACCATTGTTAATCGGACAGATGCCTGGTGCCTAGCGGGGGTCCAAGAACAGTATGCTGAATGAATGAAACATGGGAGAAGTTATTCACTGAGCTTGGTAATAAAAAAACACTGGCATGTTGTATGCCCCAAATGCCATCCAGTCTGATGCCACCAATCCCTCACTAGGAGTTGGCCAACCATGAGCCAAATTCAATCTATTGCCTGCCTTTGTAGGGCTTTCAGGTTTAAAATGAGTTGTATATCTTCTTCAATGGTTAAAAAGTAAACAAACTGGGAAAAGGCGGCCCTCCCTGGTGGTGTAGTGGGTTGAAGTGCAGCATTCTGAAGCTAGCCACAAGACCCAACCACTTCAGCACAAGTTTAATCCCCAGCCAGGAAGGCCAAGGAGTGACCCACTTGGCTCAGCCAATCTCTCCTGACCTGCCCCTGCTCCCCTCAGCAGTGTACTTGTCAATCTGTCTGTTCTGCTCCCCACTTTGTCTCTGGTGAACTCTCTCACCACCCCTGCACCCCTAGTCTGTACCCTAGTTCTGGATGCATCAATAAATCTTTTTTTAAAACTGGGAATATTTTCTCTTTTAAAAAAGATTTAGTTATTTATGTATACAAGAGCTGGGGTGCAGGCCAGAGGTGGGGTGGGGGGAGGTGAAAGGATTCACCAGAGACAGAATGGGAAGCAGAACAGGTGGACTGACTGAAATACATTGCTGAGGGGAGCAGTGGGGAGACAGAAGAGGTCTGCTGCACCCTGTGGCTCACTCCTTGGCTGGGAACAAACTCAGGCTGTTGTAGCTGTGGACAGCTTCATAGTGCTGAGACTTAACCCTTGTGCCACCAGGGAGGCCCTGGGAATATTTTCTAACACTAAAATATACATCAAACTCAAACTGGCGAAAGCCATTCCATTTGCCTATTTTTATTGCCTGTGATTGCATTGCTGCTTTAACAGCAGAGAGTGGAGTCAGGCATCACTTACTGGGGGGGCTATGTCCTGGGAAATGCATCCATCAGTGATTTCATGTTTAGAGAGACCTGGAGGGTACAGCCCACCACACACTGAGCTTCTGTGGTGCAGCCGATTGGGGTGGCCATTGTCAGTGCAGTCCATGACTGCTTGAATTCCACACAGCCAAGTAGGACTGTGTAGAGAGAGACCACCTGACCCTCGAAGCAAGGTTTGCAGAGCCCTGTCCCCTTATCATGTTGAAAAAGGGTAAACGGAGGCCCAGAGGGTTGAAATGAGTTTTCAAGGCTCCATATTTGTGAGGGACTCTCCATGTGCTAAATTATCCAAACAGTATTGGGAGCACTGCAGAAGGAACACAGTAATCACACTGACAAACATTCCAGAGATTGAAGGTTGCTTGAGTGCTGACCTTGAAAGAGAAGTCTGTATACACCTATCTGATCTTGCCAAGCCCAGATTGTTTTTATTGCCCCTGTAAAAAAAAAAAAAGTCATAGCTCTTTCTAGAACCCTTGAGATTGAGACTTTGATCAGGAAGATTATGATATTACATGAAAATCCCAATTTGACTTCATTTCTTCTGGACAAGTTTTATTGGCACAGTTAGAAGTTGGTGGCAATGTGAGTGCTCATCTGGGAAAACATAAAGTAGGTTTTGGGGTGTCAGATATTGGAGAACAGGATTGTCTCAAATTAAAAAGCTTTCACACAGTGAAAAAACATAAGTAGCTTAAAGACACTATCCTGGATGGGAGAAAATATTTATACATTATTTCTGTGTATGAGACTGTTATGAACATTTCACAGCAATTCCTTTGAACCTGATATCTCTCACTGAGCATAATGTTTTCAAGGTTAATCTGCATTGTACATTCACTCTTTTTCATAGCTGAATAATATTCCATGGCATGGGTGGACCACCTTTGTTTATCCATTCACCTGTTGATGGATGCTTGGGTTGTTTCTACCTTTTAGCTGCCATGACTTGTGCCGCTCTGACTATGGGAGTGAAATATCTATTCAAGACCTATTTCAGTTCCTTGGGCATAGAACTGATTATGGAATTACTGAATAATACGGTAAATTTGTTTAACTTTTTGAGGAATCACCCTATTTTTTCCACAGCCTGACAGCACCAAGTTACCTTTCCACTAGCAAGGTATACTACCTTCATTTTTAGTATAACTTATTTCATTGCATTTTTATCCCATTTAATTTTTAATAAGTGTTAACAACCAGCTCTTGAGATTCCTGAAAATCTAACTAATGGCCCTTGTGTGGCATGAGCACAACACTACTAAGGTCCTTAAAGAAACCTGTGTTTTTCCTTCAACTTCATGAGGGAGGATGGTCAGTTGGTCAGTTGCAGTCTCTCGCAACTAGCTCAAAATGGTTTCTGGAGTTCTAGTGGGAGACTCAGCATTTGCTAAAAATAAGAATTCCTGGGAAATGTCTCATGAGGATTCCACTGGACTTAGCAGGAAAATATCCAGTCACTGGGGCCTCTCTGGTGGCGCAAGGGGTTAAGTCTCAGCACTAGGAAGCTATCAACAGCCACTGCAGCATGAGTTCAATCCCAGGCCAGGGACTGACCCACAGCAGACCTCTCCTGTCTCCCTGCTGCTCTCCTCAGCAGTGGATTTCAGTGCACTGCCTGTTCTGCTCCCCACTCTGTCTCAGTGACTCCTCTCAACTCCCCACACCTCTGGCCTGCATCCCAGCTCTTGTATGTATAAATAAATAAAATAAATCTTTAAAAATATATCCAGTGACTGGAGGGACCAGGCTTTGAGCTGGGGTAAATCAACAAGTCCTAGTGGTCACACAGCATCATTATGCCCTGAATCCTTTCAGGTAACTTTAATTTTTCCTTCTTGTCTGGACTCACCTGCGGTATGTTCAGCACTGCACTGGTGACCAGGGACGCCAGGAAGGCAAGTCTCCTGCTTTTCAGGAACTCAGAGGTTTTGTCAGACCATTAACCACACTTTGTATCCCTTTATATCACAAGGTGTAGTTTTTCCCTTTTTCACCATCATTAATTTTTTTAACTTAGTATGATAAAATATATAATGTAAAATTTGCTGATTTAACCATGTTTAAGTACACAGCTCAATGGCACAAAGCAGATCCATGTTGTTGTGTGACCATCTTCCCCTCCAGCTCCAGAACTTTCTCCTCTTCCCCAACTGGAACTCTGTCTCCAGTAAATACTAGCCCTTGTTTTTCCCCCCAGCCCCTGGCACCACCTTCTACCTCCTGTCCCTCTGGATGTGACTCCACTAGGGCCCTCCTGGGAGTGGGTCACACAGGATTTGCCCTTCTGTGTCTGGCTTATTCTACTGAGCATCATGTCCTCAAGACCCATCCAAGTTGTAGCCTATGATGGAATTTCCTTCCTTTTCATGACTGAATAATATTCCCCTGCATATATATATATATATATATATATATATATATATATATATATATATGCCACTCTTTACTTATCCATTCACCTACTGATGGACATCTGGGTTGCTTCCACCTTCCATTTGTTATGAATCGTGCTGTGATATGGGAGAATAAATGTCTGTTTGAATCCCTGTTTTCAATCCTCTTCTTTGTATGCCCAGAGTGGAAATGCTGAGCCATAGGGTAGTTCTGGTTGTTTATTTATTTATTTATTTGAGTAACTGCCATATTAGCCTTGTATTTTTGAACTTTATATTTTGAAATAAATGTAGGCTCACATCAAATATGCAATATATATATATATGTGTGTGTGTATATATACACACACACACGTGTGTGTGTATATATATATATAATGTAGGCTCACATCAAATATGCAATATATATAGGCTCACATCAAATACGCAATATATATACATATATATGTGTGTGTATACACACACACACACACACACACACACACATATACAGACATTCACCTGGGCCCTTCATCAGCTTCCCCCACGCAAGTAACATTCTATGTAGCCAGAACACAATGTTGAAAATCTGGGACTTCACACTGATATACAGAAATTATTCTGACCTCACTGGTTTATACATGAACTCCTTGTTTGAGGGAGTGGGGGACATGTATATGACTCTGTGAAATTTTGTCACATGTTCACATTGGTGTGACCACCACTGTAATCACACTACAGAACATTTCCCTTGCCCCAAAGAAACTCCTTATAGTCACAATCTTCCCCAGATCCTGATCCATGGCAATCTCCAATCTGTTCTCATGACTATGATTTGGTCATTAAAACAATGTCATATAAATTGAGCCATAATCTATATAACTTCTAGAGATGCCTTTTTTCAATGATGTTTGAGATTCTCCCAAGTTTTGTCTTGTTTTTGTGGAGCCATAGTTTGTTTCTTTAAATTACTAGGTAGGGCCCTCCCTGGTGGTACAAGAGGGAGCACAGCACTGGAAGCTCGCTGCAGATGCTTCAGTGCAAGTTCGATCCCCGGCCCAGGAGGTGATCCACATGGCCTGCATACCGCTCCTGACCTGCCGGCCACTCCCCTCAGCAGTGTACTGGTCAGTCAACCTGTTCTGCTCCCCACTCTGTCTCTGGTGAATCCTCTCACTGTCCCTGCACCTCTGGCTTGTACCCCAGTTCTGAATATATACATTTAAAAAATTAAAATAAATTATTAAGTATTATTCCATTGTATGGAATTACTCCACACAGTTTTATTTACTTGTTCTACTTTAAATAAAAATAGCCAGCCAACTTCTCAACAGAAGGTTACTCAGGAATAACCATATGATTCATGATTTAGAGCACCCTCCCTGGTGGCACAACACTCGGTTACAGCACAGTAGTAACCTAGTAACACTAGGTTAAAGCACAGTACTACGAAGCTAGCCACAGCCACTTCAGCACAAGTTTGATCCCTGGCCAAGGGACGTGACCCACATGGCCCAGCAGACCCCTTCTGTCTTGCTCACTGCTCCCCTCAGCAGTGTGTTTCAGTGGATCTGCCTGTTCTGCTCCCCACTCTCTCTCTGGTGAATCCTCTTTCTACCCCTGCACCTCTGGCCTGTACTCCAGTTCTTTGTGCATAAATAAATAAATCTTTTTAAAAAAGTCATGATTTGGAATAGGCACATAATGAATAGGCAAAACATAACCCTCCCCCCAAAAAAAAAAAACCCCAACTCAGGACAACTGGGTTTTATAGAAAAAATGGGGGCAGTGAGGACTCCAGTTGGCTGGATGGTGGTGCTTCTCATTGATGTAGCTGTTGCCAGGCAGGATAAACCTTCCCTGGTGCAGTAGATGACTTCCTTGTTTGGAAGTGTGAGCTCATGGGCTACTTTCTGAGGGCAGACAAGGAAGACAAGCGTAAGCAAATGAGGTGGGTGGTGGGGGGAGAAAAAAAAATGTGGACGACCGCCCTCTACTGGTCATCCTAGCTCCAACTTTAATTTTCACATTTTATCAAGCCTTGTTTTGTTTAAATTCACCTGTTGAAGAACATTTAGGTTGTTTTCAGGTTTTGGTCTAGTAAAAATAAAACTTTACAAACATCTCTATTCACATTTTTGTGAGAAACTAAAAGCTCATTATTTTTGGGCAAAGACCAAGGAGACCTGGGTCCTCTGGGGTGTATTTAACTTTCTAAGAAACTGCCAAATCACTTTTCAGGGAGGCTGTATTATTTGATAACCTCACCAATGACTCTTGCATCTTTGTCAACACTTGCTATTATCGTCATATAAATTTTAGTCATTCTGATAGGGGCATGATAGTCTTGCTGTGGTTTTAATTTACATTTACCTAATGGCTAATGATGCCAAGACTTTTTTTTTCCTATTTCATTGAAATGGTGTCAGAGTCCAGGTGGAAAATAACAAAAATAATGAACAACCATATACCAGAGACATTTTGCGGGGGTGGAGTGGGGAATGGGATCAAAAACGGGTTGGGGGGAGGGAAATGCACGGGATTATGGTGATGGCACATGGGTGACTTGGTGATGGGAAACCCGCGGGGATTACAATTGAGATGGAAAAAAAATGTACAAAATGATGTAAAAATAAACTTTTGTAAAAAAAAGAAAAAAAAAGAAATGGTGTCAGAGTCTTCTGTAACTTTGTGTTTCTAACATTTGTTTACCTTGTTGTTATTTGGGAGCCTGCTGCTATGTAACATTTGTTTTTATGAGCCATGCTAGAATATGAGTTTTCATCTCTCCAATTATGGACAGTTGTGTGGTTTCCAGACTTTTGTCATCAAGAAAATCATTGTACATATCTCCTTGGCATTTTCTAGGTTATATGCCTAGGGGAAAAATTGGCAGGGTTATAGTATATTCTAGATGGTGCTAAATGGCTTTTCAAAGGAGTCTGACCAGCCGTTCTTTCAGTTACTCCATTGCACAGGTGAGAGAGATAAAGTTCAGGGTGCATTTTGAGATAGGAACTGTGTACACATGTGATATTAGTACCAGATTGTACCTAAACAAGATAAATGTCACCTTGGATTGACTCTATCAACAAAGCTATTAGAAACTTATTTCCGGGGTGTGGGGGATTAATTTAAGAGACACCCATGTCTCTGGGACCAGGGAGCAGACATACTAAGCAAGATGTAATTGGAATCAATGATAAGTAGAGAGATATGTAACAGGGAGAGTTTTGGTAGAGCAAAATGTGCTTGTTAGTAAAGATTCAGTAGGGTGTGAGGCTGTGCTATAAACTCCACATCTGTTGAGATGAGAATCAGGGGATTAGCAGGAAATATATCTCCCTGAGGACACTTGGTTCATTCAGCTGCACATACGTATGGACTATCAACCATATCCAAGGAGCTGCCTGGGAGAGAAGGAGACAAATCCACTTTCATAACTAGTAGGGAAAGCATCACATAAGAACAGCTATGTGAATCAGAGTACAGCAAAGATCATACGCCAGAAATAAGTGGGGCCTATTTGGGAATGAAAGAAGTAGGGAACTGGCAGATACAGGAAAAGTTGGACTTTATGAAAAAGGTGGTTGTGAGCTGAGCCTCTGGGTAGGAATTGAGGATAACTAACAATTGTAATTTTTAGAAAAGATTTGATTTCTTAATAGGAAGGGCAACTTCCAGAATAGAGGCAACATAATATCATATAATAAGGAAAAATAACAAATTACTGTTATATGCAACCACACAGATGAATCTCAAAAACATCTTGCTGAGCAAAAAGAGTTGTACCCAAAAAAAAGTACCTACAATACAAGCCCCTGTTTGTGAAGCTCTGGAACATGTGAAACTAATCTATGGAGACAGAAATCAGGATCTAGGGTATCTGTGGGTTAGGGGTAGTTCAGCTTGTCTTCTTTTACCTTTCACGGTATGTGGAATATATTGTGGTGGGGATACATAATACCCCAGACATGGGCAAATGCTCCAAATCACAAGTCCACCTCTTTCTCTCTCTAAAAAAAAAAAAAAAAAGTTAAACATTAGCCAGCACACCACAGTTGGTTGGGGCCAAGGAGATTAACTGAAAAGGACACTGGAAAACTCCCTAAAGAGATGGCTGTGTCCTGCATTTTGTTTCCGGGAATGCTCACATGGGTGTATGCAATTGCAAAAGCTCAAGAAACTTTCTAGAACTGTGTCCTTATTATATGCAATTTATAGCTCAATTTAAAAAACACTATCATAGACCCTAAAATAAAATGACAGAGAGCTCACCTGGTGTACTAGGAGATAGAAATGCCAAGCATTGGGGAAATCGGTGGCATTATTTAAAGCCTGACGAATACTCCTTCAAACTTTGGGCGAGTGGATGGGAGCACTCAGTAACTGAAATGACAATTATTGCAGAAATGGTGTAGGTGTTCTGAGCATTTAAAAAAAAAATTTACTTTTTATGTATACAAGACTGGGGTACAGGCCAGAGGTGTTGGGGTATTGAGAGGATTCACCGGAAACAGCTGGGAGCAGAACAGGCAGATTGAGTGAAGTACATTGCTGAAGGGAGCAGTGTCAGGAGAGGTCTGCCGCTCCATGTGGGTCACCTCCAGGGCTGGGAATGGAACTTGTGTTACAGTGGCTGGGGACAGCTTTGTAGCCTTGTGCTTTAACCTGTTGGGCCACCAGGGAGGGCTCTAGCATCCTTAGCATTTTTGAATTAGGGTAGAGCTGGTTACAATGTACATTTCTATAGTTTGCCACATTTTGCGATTTTATGTATATATATATCTTTAACATTGTATCTATTTATATTGTGCCTATTAACATTGCTCCAAAGTATCAAGCATGCTGCAATTTAAACGTTAAATGAATGAGGGAGGCAGCAAGACTGAAAGTGTGCAGGGCTGACTCCCAGGCGGCCATGGACTGGACTCTGGGAGAGTGTGGACTGAGCCTTTCCTTTGTCTACGTGGTGTACCCCACCATGAAGTATACACAATGCTCAGAGATGTGAGAAAAAGAAAAGCAATGTGGGAGACTTTTCATGGTCTTTTCCCCCCATTTATTCTGTGCTGCGTGCTTCCTCCTTTCATAACCACTGGTTGAGGACATTTTGCTCAGTGCAATCAGCTAGTCACCAAAGAACAAATACCGTGTGATTACACTCACAGGAGGCCGCCCCTAGAGGGTCAAATCCATAGAGACCGGAAGCAGAGGGTGGGTGCGAGGGCCTGAGGAGTTAGTGTTTAATGGAGACAGAGTTCCAGTTGGGGAAGATGAGAAAGTTCTAGAGACAGACGGTGGGGAGGTGGGTTGCACAAAACGGGACTATACTTACTGCCACTGAATTGTGCAGTTACAATGGCTAAAATGGCAAATTTTTAATGTGACGTTTACTTACCACAACAAAAGTCTTAAAATGAGCTTCTTTCATGAAGACTTGGGGTGAAGATATAACGAGATGCTGGGATTTGTTTGTCTTCCTGCATCCATTGCTGGCAGAACCAATAACTTGACGCAGGGTGGTTCTCCCAAACCTGTGGGGACCTTACGAGGTTATGTACTCCCCGCAGGCACTCAAAACCATCCGGGGCGCCTGGCCTCTCCCCAGCCCACCTGCTCACGCCCATCACCCCCTAGCCCTTCGACCTCCCGCGCGTCTCCAGCCCCGCCCCTCCCTCAGCCCCCGCCAGGCTGGCGCCCCAGGCGCATGTGCACAGGCGCGGTGGGAATCGAGCTAGTGCGCACGCTCCGGACGCCGCCTAGCGCCGGGCCCCGCCCCTTCCCCCTGCGGGGAGGCGGCCGCGGAGTGTACGCACGCGCCGCCGGGGCCCGGGCCTGGCGTGGCCCTGGAGAGGCAACATAATATCATATAATAAGGAAAAATAACAAATTACTGTTATATGCAACCACACAGATGAATCTCAAAAACATCTTGCTGAGCAAAAAGAGTTGTACCCAAAAAAAAGTACCTACAATACAAGCCCCTGTTTGTGAAGCTCTGGAACATGTGAAACTAATCTATGGAGACAGAAATCAGGATCTAGGGTATCTGTGGGTTAGGGGTAGTTCAGCTTGTCTTCTTTTACCTTTCACGGTATGTGGAATATATTGTGGTGGGGATACATAATACCCCAGACATGGGCAAATGCTCCAAATCACAAGTCCACCTCTTTCTCTCTCTAAAAAAAAAAAAAAA